GAGTGTGTGTGTGTGTGTGTGTGTTTGTGTTTGTGTGTGTGTTTGTGTGTGTGTTTGTGTGTTTTTGTGTGTGCGCGTGTGTGCGCGTGTGTGCGTGCGTGTGTGTGTGTGTCTATGTGAGCGTGTGTGTGTGTCTGTCTGTGTGTGTGTGCGTGTGTTTTTGTGTGCGTGTGTGTTTGTGCGTGTGTGTTTGTGTGTGTGTGTGTGTTTTTTTGTGTGTTTGTGTGTGCGCGTGTGCGTGTGTGTGTGTGTCTATGTGAGCGTGTGTCTGTCTGTCTGTGTGTGTGTGCGTGTGTTTTTGTGTGCGTGTGTTTGTGTGTGTGTGTGTTTTTGTGTGTGTCTGTGTGTTTGTGTGTCTGTGTGTGTGTCTGTGTGTGTGTGTCTGTGTCTGTGTCTGTGTGTGTGTCAGCAGTCACTGAATCGGAGGACGTCTGCGGTTTAAGCGTCAGATCCCGGTTGTTTCATCAGGCAGATGTGACGTCATTCTCCAACTTCCAGCGGAAAACCGGGCGTCTGCCGGACACCAGCGGGGACGACCTGCGTCTCGGTATCTGGAAAACTCCTCCATCATCACAGTCGTGTTTTTACAGTAACTTGTTGTCTAAGTCAGTGTTTTCCCAACCTTTTTTCTGCCACGGCACAGTTTTGATAAGTAAAAAAATCCCACGGCACACCACTAAGCACTAATAATTATACAATGCGTCATCAGAGTTGGTACATATATTAAGCTTTATATATGATCAGACACGTGCACTTAACGTTTTCTGAAAATCATGCTCAAACGGAGTTAACAAGGTTTTTGACGAGCGAATGATGGAGATCTGTGTTTTGTCCGTCATGAGAACGGCAGCATCTGAGATAGAATTAATCATTTTCATCAATTTACAGGTTATAAAGTTTATTGTAGCTATAAGGGCACTCAGTTTAATATATTTGGCCAAACTTTCATGATATAAAAGATGAACCGCTTTGCACAGGATATTTGAAACGTACAAAAGTGTATTGGCTACAACTAGACAGCAAATGCTAAGACTCTTCTCCACTCTTCAAACACACAAAAACATTAGTCTTCATAGACAGTGTTTCTTGAGTAAAGAAAACGCTGCTCTTTTTCAAACATCAGTTATTTATTTATTACCCTTGCATTGCAAAGAATTTAACATCACGGCGTTTCATTCTGAATGGATGTTATTAGGTTTGACTGACAATTTGAGGATCCAATGGCGTTGCGAGGTTTAGTCACACGCTCCTTTGAATGCTTTTCATTGGTTAAGTATTTGTAAAACCCACCAACAGACATGACGATGAACACTAGTGTGCCGCTGCAGCACAGTGGCTGGGAAACACTGGTCTAAGTGATGTTTAATAGTGTATTCTACACGCTTCCAGATGGAGAGGTGTTGGTTTACTGCGGTAAGATGGAGACGCTGAAGGACTTCACCCTGTACTGCTCTGACACCTCTGCTGTCTTTCTGAAGGTGACACACGTGAAGTATCTGTTTAAGGGCCCTAGATAGTGCTCAACGCTCACTGTGTATTCAAACTACTGCTTAATGATGGCAAATGAGATGTACACAAAACTGATGAAAACAGAGCGTTATTTACTAGGGGTGGGAATCACCAGAGGCCCCACGATACGATATTATCATGATACTTGTCACGATACAATATTATTGCGATATATTGCAATTTATTACCTTTTTACAACTTCAAATTATGTCCCCCAATGGAAAACGTTGGCAACATCTAGCTGTTTTAACTAAAAGGAAACATTTCTCAGTTTGTTTATCTCAGTTTGTTGATGGCGATGCCGCCATTTTTATTTCACTAACTGCATGCTGAAGGTGACCCAGCTGACCTCACCAGAAAAAAACTCAACACCACCATCTAGTGGACTGTAAAAAAAAATAATTTTCTTATTCTACCAAATAGTATAATAAAAGATCGATACTTGGCGTCCGTTTATCGATACAGTATTGCCGCGGAAATATCGCGATACTATCCCGTATCGATTTTTTTCTCCCACCCCTAATATTTACACTTATTTATTTAGTATTATATATTTACCAGTATTATTTTAATATTATTTATACACTTTTATAGTATTTATTAATATTTGGAATTATTTTTTAATATATTTTCAGTTAATATTTAAGTTTTAGGAATGATGTGCTTTGTCATTTTTATAATATTAT